TCAGTCGTTGTAACATGCGTATAAGTGAGTTTGTGTGTATTTGCGCTCTGCGCTCTAGGTTTCTACGTACGTACGTATTGCAGTGTGTGTTAGAGCGAGATTAGTACAGTGTGCTGTACTGCTCTCGCTAATGCTGTGTGCACTATCTCGCCTGTGCAATGCGGCGGGCTTCGTTCCACCGCACAGAAAACATATGGGTTACCATTGCTTTTGGAAAAATTGGAAAAATCCCGTAGCAATGAAGATTTGAACAGTGAACGCAGTTTAGTATACGGCACATTGTCTGAATGTTTCTCGGCTCTTCAACAATGCACAGCCAACTGGTTCGATTCATTGTTACCGCTTTATTTGGCCGGCGTTCAAGATGAATACGAAGAAGTACGTCAGAACGCTGTTTTCGATTTGGGTGAATTGGTACTGTTCAGCGGAGAAAAGGCATACGCACAATTTCCACAAGTGTTGCAGGCATTGTCGCAAATCGTTGCGGTTGAGAAAGAAGAAGGTGTACTTGATAACATTTGCGGTGCATTGGCCCACAGAAAATTCCACTTCACAAAGACTTTCACGAAAACAAAGCCGTCTTCAAAGCGTTCCACGTCCTCTTGGTTCAAGGTAGCGAAGCTTTTCTCAAAACATTGGATCGCGTCATCATGGTTGGCCTTCATGTTCTTGGCAAAAACGAGTACAAAGATGATCCAAAATTATCCAAAACGTTTTTTCTTACTCGATTTTTCTCTTTACTTTATGCAACATCACGACTCTGGTGGTCGCCTTTACTCATTTTAAGTTAGAAATGATAAACAAAATCAAATTGAAATACATTAAGAATGCATACCATTAAATAAAGAATTCAATTAAAAGTGTTTGTTGTTTAGATTTTTCATTGTTTTCTATTAAAAGTTGTCTGTTTGAAATTTGTGTTCGATCAACGTCCATAAGAAAAAGTCAAATTATTTCTCTGAGTTGTTATCTTTATTATACAAATTTATTTTAAAGGAAAAATCATACGATATTTTATTATTTTGTTCGGAATATTGAAGGAATTTCTATAACATTTTCTTTTTAAATTTTTGAATTGGCTCACTTGTTCTGATTTCTTTTATCATATTTCTGACATTTTAGTTTGTATTTATTCTTTTCTTTTTTTTTCTTTTTTTTGCATTTCTTGCTCATGCTTTTTCGCCATTCTGGCCATCTTTTGTTCGTGCTCCCTATCCATTCTGGCCATTTCCTGTTCATGATTCTCTCTTGATTTGGCCATCCATTGCTCGTGATCGAATTCCTTTCGCTGTTTTTCGATATTCCACTCTTCTTTCATTTTTTCAATCTCATATCTCATTTTTTTTCGTTTTCTGGTTTTGGTATTTTCATTTGGAGAAGACGTGCTGCTCGATGAACTTGAAATCGTTGTCGATTGGAGTTCTGAGTTGAAATTTGCGCGTGTGTCTTCCTAAAAAGGTCACATAATAGTTATCAATATAGTTTTCAAGAAAATGTCACAAGAATGTTTCAATCACAATGAACTAAACGTTTTACATACATGATATGAACAAGTTGGTACATCAATCGTCAGCTGAGGTGATGAATTCGCCAAAGGCTGCATGGAATCATCTCTTGTTTCGATATTTTCATGCTGTGAAATTGTGTTGCTCGATGAGCTTGAAGGTAAACCAGTCTGGAGAATCGAATTCTGCATCAAGAAATTGTGATGTAGCCAATTATCGTTAATTCAATATAGTTTTCAAGAAAATGTCACAAGAATGTTTCAATCACAATGAACTAAACGTTTTACATACATGATGTGAACAACTTGGAATATTTTCGGGACTTTCTCGGTTTTTGGAACGTGCATTATTAACATCAACGATATTTCGAACCTGTGTATGTGAGACATTCGAGTAGCAATGTTCCTAAAATCGATGCAGTTGTCAAGTTTATGTCTTAAGAATATTTCAATCACAATAGATTTGAAATAAACAACACATACCTCATATAACCTCGACACTGGTGTTGGACTGTTCGATGAACCCACTGAGACATCGTCCTGTTCCTTAGTTTTGACTATTTTGATCGTTTCAACTGATTTGATCGTTTCTGCGGTCCTAGGCGGTGATTGGTTTGAACCATCGTTGAATTCATCATCAAAATCTGTCGATTCCGAGTCATTGTAATTTTTTCGCTCACTTCGGTCTCGCAAATCATATGGAACTGTTGAAAAAAACCGAAAAAATTAATTAAATATTAACTTAAAATCGAAAAAATTATTCAAGTGAATCACATTTTTTCTCTTTTTGTTCGTCGTCACTCATTTTGGATGTTCTTGGTGTAACACTTACCGATAATCTGAACCGGTAAAATGATCATGAATTTTCTTCGTCTCATTGTCTTCGACTTCTTCTTCTTCTTCTTCTATTGCACTCTCTATTGTCTTCTTCACTATATTTCGATGCACACGCACACGCACAAGCACACAAACAATCTCAAATATTTTTCAATTTAATTATTTTATTTGGTTCCAAATTTCTTGTTTCCGCAATAATTGTTTATTCTAAGATTTGGATATTTGTCTTATTTTGAATGGTTTGTTCATTTATTTGCATGATTTTTTCGAAAAAGCGAATGAAAAACAAAAATAGAAATGTGAGTTGTACGTTTTGTTCGCTTCGTTTATAAAATATTTCATTTATGAGGTATTGCTGTCAATTTTACAAAAATGACGCTATGAAATCAGTGGCAGCACATGTATGATTTTTCAATGGTGTAAATGCCATCTCTTGACTTAAATGTCAATGGAAATTCAAATTAAGCACCAATCCACACTTGAATGCATAACAAATACGTGCATACGTGCATAAAAAATACACAAATTTGATCTAGTTTGCAAATTTTGCGATTGCTTCAATATAAAGTCTTCACTGCAAAGCAGTTAGCCAGGTGATTTAGGTGATTCGATTCTAGAAGAAAAAGACATTATTACAAATGGAACTGTTACATTTATTTCGTTTTCAATAGAACAATAACATTTCATGTCCCTAAAACAATAATGGATTCCTGGCACTACAGTCACTAATGCTTACGATTTAACATTTTCACAATAGAAAAAATTCACCTTAGCAATTTATCAAATGAAATTCCACAGAAGAAAAAAAAACAATGCCGATCTAAAAAATTATATCACATGTATCTCTTAGAGAGATTGGTTCCGTTTTTGACTTGATGCACGCGTGAGACAAATGATACGGATTTCTTTTCTTATCGGTTGAACACAATGTTGTCGGTCCACTGTCGTACAACGCCGGTATTGAAGCGCTAAAAATAGATAAAATTAATCAGATGCTATCCAACTATTTCTTTTTTTTTTTCATTCAAAATTCAATGTCGTTATCAAACCTGGGCAAAATTGGTGATAAATGCTAGTAGTGATTTTTTTGGAGGACGACAATATTTTCTCCCTTCTTCTTGACAACATACGTTGGCTAAAAATAGATTCACCATTAGATCGCTCTATCGATATTCAATAGAAGAAAATAAAAAAGGAAATAAAGCCTCACGAAAACAATCTAATGTGTTGTTGCATGGTTTCGGATGTAGATCGTAGGCCGTTGGGGGTGCCGGTGTACATTTCAAATAGCTGGACAACATATCGATGGCTAAAATTCAATTCAATTTTTTTTTAGATCACTCTAACCATATATTCAATTTAGAAATAAAAAAAATGAAAATAAAGCCTCACGATATGCCAACTGCTTTCCAACGGGAACATTTTCCAATTCTGGACGCGCAGATCTGCAATATTTATTTGTTCCATCAGGACAGCAAATTCGAGGCCAACAATCATGGTCCGTGTTGCACGTCTTCAATTCCCAGAAGAGTTCAGCCAGTGGTTCTTTCGGACATTTTCGTGGAATAAGGCCGAGAATTGCTAAAAAAAAAATAAACATCAACGCGGTTTACAATGCGAACAATACAAATCAAATATCATGAAAATTGAGAAAAAAAAAAAACAATGAAACTCCAATTACGTTCATGGCGTTGCTCTTTCAATGGCTTCGGTACACCTTTGACACATCGTTTGCTATTGAACTGGCGACAGCATCGATATTCTTTGCCGATGGATAGGCAATTCGCATGTCTTGAGCAATAATGCGGAAAAAATGAGAATTCCGATGTGTTTGGACATTCATACGGATCACTTTTTTCCTTTCGAAGTTTTGGACTTGATGTTGTCGTCAATTTACCTGCTGCCTGTATATTTTTCGATGTTTGCGATTCAATGACATCGCCAATCACTTTAACATTTGCATCATTTGATGACTTATCTTCTAAAACTGCCTTCGTATCGATTGGTAAAACGTTCAATGCTAGTTCATAATAATTTAAAAAAGCTAAAATTATTATAGAAAAGAAGACTGTTTGTGATAAAAACGATATAAGAGATTGAAATAGAGATTTATACAAATAAATATGATTTGAAATAGCAAAAGCGAAAGAAGAAAAAAGAGCTAGTATATATGTTTATATTTATATTACAAAAAGTCATTTGGGATTGACCAATTCAAAGACCAATCGACTGTCCTAAATACATAAATTATGATGTGGGTAACAAGTGCATTTGGTAGCTCTGCGATATACGTGTTACTTTTCATTCGGTTCAGGAGATTTAACTGCATTTAGAGAATGCTTTAGAGAGGAGCAGTAGCGCTAAGCGTATCCAATATTTAAATGTATTATAATGGCGATGAACTGTCTATTGCGTGATCCATTGCAACGGTACATAAATCGTCAATGCTATCAAGTAATCACAAACAGACAGCACATAAGTTAAATTCAACTCATTTTTCTTTCATTCCAAGCGTGACCCGTGAAAATCGTTGGCCTCTTTTGTTTTTTTAATAAAGCAATTAAAAGAGTATTGTAGTGATGCCGGGGTAAAAGGGTTGAACGGTCAAATCTATATGTTTAAATTCCATGTACTATATCAATAGGCCCAATGAGCATTTCATTCAGAATAACGTCATAGCATACACATGTTCGGCGGTGGGCTTGCATATCACTTTCACATGACCTTGCACCAAGTGCGCAGTCGAATGTAAATTTTTTCACTTCCAAAAATAAAAATAAAAAGTAGTTCATGTAAAAAAAAAAATGCAAAAAAATTGAATTTCTGTCAAAAGTATCACCTTGTCATCTTAGAACAAAAATCTAGACCTTAACACGTTTAACCGGTCGTGGATTGTTGTGAAAGAATTGACCATGTGCATATCGACCTCCCGACACCGCCTAAACTGCATTTTTGAACTCGTGGTTTTTCTACGGTTGATCCAAAGCATTCAATGATATAAAACGATAGTCGGCGAAGCTTTATTTGTCGGTCTTTTTTCAAACACGGATTTTTGTTTCTATTCATCTCTATTTTCACATCGATTATGAGTATTCAAAATTTGAATTGAAATAAGGTGTAAAACTCATTTAAGCAAGCCAGTGATCAGTTATTGTTTCAGTCCCACATTATTTACCTCTCTCTATCTCTGATACGCACACTCTCTTATTTCGTTTTTTTTTTCTCCGCTGACCTTTTGGCACATATGAACGAATGGTGCCTAGGAACCGCAATAACAATAATGCGTATGAGCGCATAATTCTTTATAATTTATGAAAAATGTCAAGATTCAATGCATACAGGCCCATGTATAGGGAGAGAGAGAGATGCGGTTGTTGTTCTATTTACATCCCATCGATTTAATTAAATGAGAATGTGCACATTATGATGAATGAATAAATGCTCATCAATTGCAACTTCTTCGAGGGGATTGCAAAATGAATTACCTTCAACAAACCTGCGAAAACGGTTTATGTAAACAGTAATAGTAGTTCGGATGGTATAAAAAAAGTACGAGCATTCAAATATCGATTAAATTCAAATGAAGTGCTTTGTTCAAGTTTTTTTCATCCACATGAACACACACTAACACACACACACACACATACACACTTTGGCTTTTGAATTTGTTTTGGCAGTAGTGACCGGTCAATAATTTGTTATATAATTCCTTTTTTTGTTTGTACAAAATTTTATATTCGCATTTATCGCAATACCAAACTGGTTGAACATCATTTCCAAAAAAAAAAAATGTCTGCGATGCTTTAATTCATCACAATCGAGATACGAAAAAAAAAATTATAATGACTTTAGTAATCACAATTAAGGAGAACTCTTCATCATCTATGTAACCTAAATAGCGAAGCCGAAAGCGATCGTATAAACGTTCGATTGTTTGCTACTTACACGTTAGATTGACTCTAAACGGCTGATCACTTGATTTTGAATTCCCTTCGATGGATCGTATCGTGAGTTCTTTTTGAACGTTATCGCTACCACAAATTCCATTGCCATTAATAGCAACTAATATACAAAACACTTTGAGAAAGATTTGCATTTTCAACATTTAGTTTATATAGTTTTGTTTTTTTCTCAGTTGTTTTTCTGTTTCTGCTTCCAACTTTGTACGTTTTCAAATGTTTACACACAAATAAAATTTGAAATTTGTTGTTCAAATCGAATCACTCATTATATTGTTTGTAACTGATTTGTTTTCGATTTTTGGCCACTTGTTATCGCCACCATGATTAGTTGTATCTTTGATAGACGGAGGAGCCACGAATTGTGTGATGCGATCGCTTTGAGTGTTGCACTAGCAATAACAATAACATAAATGTGTGACACGGTTTACATGCGACACATTCCGTCCATCCGTCTTAGTATTTTTACTACTCACGATGCAAAATGAGCGTGGAACAACAAAAAAATCAAAAAACACATACACACACAGCGTGGCATCAAACAATGATCGAGTTTGGTCAGTCTTCTGTTTCGATGTTTAACACAATGCAAACCAGTGGGAAAATGAGTATATTCGGTCGATTGTATATGTGTGAATATGGGCATATATATAAGCTCTTGAAATCGACACCAGCCACCTCATTCATTCGATTGTTTGTGCGGCGCGCGTAAAGTGCCGTAACACATGAAAATGTTAAACGGCAATCCATTCATCGCACTCGCATACACATACGTATTTATGCTTGTGCTTGGAGGTCATCTGGATTTCGATTTCAATAACCACATAATCGCGCGAAGAAGACGTTCGCCGCTTCAGATAAATGTGCACACAAGAGAATGCGTTTTATTTTCAAATTCAGTTTCTTCCTATTCACATATGTCATGGCGCTGACCAAGTTATAAATTGAACTGGCTAATGGACACAGTGCCATCAAAATGTAAACAGTTAATTATGGACCAGCATTTTATCAACAGCGATTGATCAAACTAAATGCACACGTGTGCCTTCTGTGCCACACATATGAAATGCTACCATTAGTAGAGACAAAAATCAAATATTGCTGTGAATCGATTCAAACGGCGGCTGCTAAATAAATTGCTAGGAGAGGGTATGAAATTAAAAAAAAAAAAGATCGGTGACAGTTGTTCGGTTCGTTATCAATGCGTGTTATTATTAACTAATTAATTCAAGGTAAGTTGCCCAACGGTTTATTTCGATTATTCTCTTTCTCTCTCATATGACTTGTTTATCTCTTCCAGTAGAAATCAAGGTTAAGCTTTTATTTATTCTACAAAATACTTTTTTATGGCATATGCATATCAATCCATCAGGCGGATTAGTTACTAAGAGTAATTTGAAATTGGTGACGTAAAAAGTTGATCTTATTGCTGTGTTGCAATTTTACCAATACATTTCATTTACATTTACATTTCACTCGACAAAGCCAATGGGATATCATTGAAGACAACATCACGGTAGTTTTCGAGTAAAACCCCACGTAGTTCTTGGGCATGTTCCCAATCGCGTGTTTCACACACAACTTTAACCTGCAATAAAATGTCATAAAATCTCCGAAATAACCGTTCTCAGCATCAGTGAACATGAAATCGTATTACCTCAACGCTGTAGATGTCTCTCAGCCATGCACGTTCATGCATTATGTCTTTGATAGTCACACCAATATCGGCTAAGATTCGACACAATTGAGCTATTCCACCTGGGCCATCATCCAACGTAACGTTAAACCTACGGTTGAACAATTCAAATAAAAACAAAATCTTATGTATGCGTGTATTGTGTCAATCCATTTTTAGTTTGAATGGAGAAAGTTGCCAAACCTAAGAAGACGTCCTTCGCTTGCTAAGCCTCGTTCTAAACATCGTCCAAATGTAGTCGTATCAATGTTCCCACCACACAAAAGTAAAACCACTCTAAATTGAGAAATTGTGCGTTATCATTTCGTACGAATTTGAATGCATTAAATTATTCGATGGTTTTTTTTTTTCCAAATACTTTTTATTTTTGAATTCATTCAACTGACCAGCCATTATGGCGGCCAATCCACAAGCGCCAGCTCCTTCGACAACCACTGAAATATGTGAAACAATCAATGCATAAATAAATTGTGTGCCGCAATTGTTTTTAATTAGATAAAATTACTCTTTTCTTGTTCAACCAAGCGTAGAATAGCCAATGCAATCCATTCTTCTTTTACAACAACCATTTTGTCCATCAATGGGGCGGCCGTTTTGAAAGCATTATAACCAACCATTGGAACGGCCAAACCTGTAATTTGTAAACGATAAGTGTAATCGACCAATACAATCGTTCATTGTTTGATTATTATGCCAAACCGTCCGCTAAAGTTGGTTCAATTTTTACTGCGACTGGTTCCCCTTGTTCCATTGCTTTTGAAAAACTCGGACATTTTTCCGATTCAACACCCTGGAATTTGACAAAATGTTTCAATCAAAAATCAAATTGATGTTTGTTGCAATTAGATTTCGGTGATAATGAGACATACGATGATCTTGGTTGATGGGCTCATTGCTTTTATGGCCGTGGCAACGCCAGCAATTAAACCACCTCCACCAACCGGTATGACTACGACATCTGGAAACGGAACTTGTTCACAGATTTCTAGACCTAAAATTTAAGAAAAAAATTTGATGAATAGAAATATTCGACAGATTTTATAAAAATGGATAACAACAAACCGATTGTCCCTTGACCAGCAATAATATTAGGATGATCGTAGCCATTGATGTAAGTGAGACCACGGTCTTTTGCCAATCGCAATGCTAGACCTCTAGCCTCCGCCATAGTCGCACCCTACAAATCAAGAGTAACATTAAGCAATCGTTCTAGTCTTGAATCCCATTTTAACGCGGAACACATACTTGAACAAGAACTTCCGCATTGAAACTGCGACATCTTTGAATCTTCATAATTGGAGCAGTGACCGGCATTACTACTGTGCACGGGATACCAAGTTTGAACGCATGATAACTCAGCCCTTGTGCATGATTGCCCAAAGAGGCCGAAATGACTCCAGTCCTTCTTTCTTCTTCACTTAATTTCAACAATGCATATCGCGCACCACGTTCTTTAAAACTACAAAAAAAATATAGTGAACTTTTTAATTTTTAGCGCTACTTCGCAAATAGGGAGAGAGAAAGAGAGACACACGCCTTTCATAACAGTGCCAATACAATGTGTGCCAATTGTATTCAAGAAATAAGTTTATCAATCAATAAATCAAATGGAAATCGATGTTAACTTCTATTGATGAAATTGTACCGAGACCAATTAACTGTCCAAACTAGTGCTCTATTTAAAAATTGCATTCGAGTAAAAAAAAATTTGTTTTTCAAGTGAACACGCACTAGGTTTATGGCTTCGACCCTTCAAACTCAAGTCGTTCGCACATATGAACAAAACACATACTATTTGCTGCATCTAGTTTTTTTACATCAATTTTCACTTCTTACCTGCCCGTATATTGAAGTAGATCTTTCTTCAGATATAAATCCATGCCGTTGTATGTCGACCTCGATTTCTGGCAAATATTTTAGAAATACTTGGTTCATATCTATATCTGAAATATCATTGATCCACCATTTTTTTTTTATCTATTTACCGTGCATGGAGTGTATTCAATTCCCGATTTGATGAGATACGACGCCGAAGTGATCTCGTGAAAAGTCACCTTCACTGGATTTTCGGCAACACAATGAGGATCAACCACATCCAGTTGATAATCACTACTTTTTGCATTTTCATTTATCTCAGCCATTTTATTGCGTTGGAATTATTTATTCAATTTCTTTATTTGTATCAGAATTTGCCTAATTGCACTGATGCTCTGCTGACCACGTTAACTTTGAATGACACGCACCGTATGAAAAGAAGCCTCTAAATGTCGGTCAAACCGGCGCATACGCTAAGTTTTATCTCGGTAATGAAATCAATTGTTTGATATTTTGCGATTATCTCAAAATCGTTATCGATCTATATTACAAAGTACGCTGTAAAAAAAAGAGAGAGATGTTGATCAGACAGAATTGATAAAGGGCAGACGAAGTCCTCACTACAAGTGTCTGTCTTGCAGAACCAATTGAACTTTTTACGGAAAATTTGACTTCAATAGCAACAACAATAACAACCAAATGCCTACTATGCGAGTCGAATAAGTGCAAATAATTTGACTTGAAGTAGCCAGTCGATTAATTTCGATCTTTTTGCTGACTATCGAGTGACCAATGCTCATTTTAAGTGGTGTGCATTTGATTAAATTCAGTATTTAACATTTGAATGATAGGTACATATTTTAATTTAAAATGTTTGTTTTTTTGTTAATTAATTCATATAAAATCAATTACGACTGGCATGTATAAACAGAAAGTCAATAAATAATAGCCGACAAAGTCTAAATCAGCAATGAAAAATAAGCATTTTGACTCCAAGTCATTTAACGAAAATCCTCAAAATTTAACTTTTTTTTTTGTCTAATTTTTTAATTATTTGATCTAGTAATTGTCGATTTTGCATGAAAAAATGGCTAAACTTTACATTATAAAGGTAAATTTTGCGGATTTATAAATCTGGAAATTTAACGAAAAATTAAGATTTCATCGAATGGAATGGTCTAAACGCAATTGACGAATATGCAAAGGCAACAGCTTTATTGTACATCTGAAGCATCTCATTTGCTGCACACTTAATATACACACATATATACGATTTCCACTGTTTCATTTTTGCAATGACGAAATTCCAGCTGTCAACTGTCAAACGATGTGTTTGAACAGAACACAAGATACACGCAGTCAGCCAAATCAACACCGAACATAATGATCAAATGGAACCGTTAGATTGTAAACTCAAGAACTGGATGCAGATTGGAGCAAAACGAAATGGCGACATCGCAAAAAGTGTGCGAGATTTGTAAATTTAGCGATGGAAATGATTTGGACTTGGGTGAATGGAAGACATCAGAAGACTGTACTATTCATCTGTTTTGTGCGGTATGTAAAGTTTTTTTTTTTATCCATTGAAAATCATATCTGGAATAATAACATATTTTGTCGAACATTTTCAGTTGTTATCAACGAATGCAGTCCAACGAGGTACAGTTTTGAGGTTAACTATTCCAAACGTGTATTTGATACGCAATTAATTTTGTGGTAAAATTGTAATGGATTTGTATGAATTTGTTATTCTTTAGGCGAAGACAATGAAGGTATCGATGGATTCTTGGTTACTGACATTCGAGACTTAGTGAATTTACATAAAAAAACCCAATGCTATCTCTGCAAAAAGAAGTCTGCAACAGTCAGATGCAAGTATAAAAAATGTACACGTTATTTCCATGTAAAGTGTGGAACAGAGAACAACTGTTTGTTCCAATTTGAAGGTCAATTTCATTCGTATTGTCATTATCATGTTGATATCAAAGAGAAAAATACAATCCATGGTGATTGTTGGTTGTGTCAAATTTGCAAAGAACCCATGGGTCCGTACAATCCAATAACAAGCATTCCATCATGCTGCAATCAAGGCTTTTTCCACCGAACATGTATACAGAAGCATGCAAGAGCAGCTGGCTATTTGACAAAATGTCCATGTTGTGGAAACGATTCCGATACTGATAACAACGAGTACAGACAGTTTCTCGCACAACGTGGCATTTTCTGCCCAGATAAGGATGCAGGTGAGGAAAATTGATTTTAATTTGGACTGACATTTCATTAAAAAATTATTCGATACCAATGTTTTTGATATTTTTTTTTCAGATTGGGAACTATCGAAAGATGCATACCATTCATTATTGTTTGTTTACAACCAATGCGACGCCAGAAATTGTCTCTGTCCTAATGGACGACAACATAGTGCGCGTGGCGAATGGCGTTTGCACAAGTGCCGTTACTGTGGAGAAAAGGGTATTCACGATGGATGTCGTCCGACTGATACAAACAAAGACTTCATATGTAATGACTGCATCACCATTAGATTTTTATAACTTTGTCATTGCTTTTCGTTATTTCTCAATATTTCTATTTTTGCTTTTGTGATTCTACCTTTGATTAGGTAACGACTGCAGTGGGAAATTGACTCCATTAATTACTGTTCACACTGAAAGTTCCAGAAACAACGCAGAAACCACAAATGAAGCTAGCATGGACGTTGAGAATCCATCTTCTTCGAAAACCAATGTTAACAACAATAACAGTAATGAGCCAAATACAAGTGGACCTGATGAATCTGAAGGCAAGGTTTTCAAATTGGTCCCAACAGATCGGCTATCATACCGAAAAACTACACTGCTTCTGGCTGATGAAAGTACCAACAAAGATGTTGACCCGTTATGCGGTGCAGCAAGAGGAAAAATGCGTAACAATCGATTGGACATGTTCTTCGCGAAAGCTGATTTTGATGCAAAACCAGCTCCACCGCCGTGGCTCATCTGAATGAAGAAGCAGCACGAAGAAGAAAACCAAAACGAATTTCAATCAACTTAAGTTTTTGTCATGTTTCCATTGTAAGATTATGATTGAGAACAAACTATTGCATTTTCTTGAATTGTATTTTGCTTGGTAATTAGTGGCAAATTGAATCTCACTTCTAAACAGAACGTTTGCACATTCTGTTAGAATACTTTAATTTATTAAAGAGATGTGTATAAAAGTTCATGGGAAAATATTATCAAAAATTCAAGGATAAATTTAATATTAGAATTAAGGCAACGAGATCTCGTATAGCGACATGAAACACTTATCTAAGTGCCTTTTCCAACATTAAATAAATAAATTTCTTTTTGGCATAATTTGTAAATAAGATTTATATTTCATTCATATGTTCAAATTTCCACATTCAAATCATTAGCTCATTATGATTTACTTGCGATTTCCACACAAAAATTACAAAGAAATTGAATCGTGCGAAGCCATTTAAATGTAGATCGCATTCTTTGACGAGATAGAAAAGTTTCAAAGCATATTCTTGTATGTATTTAATTGGTTTGCCAGGAGAAAAACTATTAACTCGAAGTTGAACCATTTTTTGAAACGACAAAAAATGCATCTATGCATTATTCAATTAAGCATTGAGGATTTGAGGGTGATTGGACTGTAGTTGACTTCATAGTATGTTAATAGTATCAATAGTATAATTGTTTGTATTTAAAAATTGATCTCTACCTAAAGTAATTTCTTTATTTTTCTTTGTTCTGAACATGCTTTGATCATTTTATTGAATTTTGATTATTTGATCATTTAATTAATTAATTATTGAAAACAATAAAGAATAAGAATAAAAATAAGAATAGTCACCTGTTAGTTACTGTTTAGCGAAAATTTCCGAAATTAGTCGTCTGGCTAGAAATAGACAAGCAACTGACTGTCAGTCGTTTCATTTGCAAGCAGCAAAAGTACTTATTTAAAACAAAAATCCATGGTTAATTTCTAATATATAATTTGTACTGATGATGAAAATACTGTAAAAAAACTTTAACAAATCAAAACTGTAGTTTTATTCCAATTTATTTTTTGACACAACCGATTTATGAAATATTCATTTTGTTATTGTTTTGAGTTGTTGGTCTTCTTGAAAAAAAAATTTATTTCGCCGTATTTTTCGGTTAACATTCATCATCAAACATTTGAAATTAATCAACACATTCACAAAATGTTTGGTGGTGCAGAGAGATTCGTTTCTTGAAGCAGAAAATAACATTTGTTCTGGAATTTATTTCAGAAAAGTTGATGAGATATTTTCAAACCTCTGTAGCTTAATATTTAATTTTTTTATTTCAAATTTCTATAAAAATTCGGTGGAATGGGAAATCGCTCCAAAATAGAAACGGCAGTCGCATTTATAGGCCATCTATCGTACTTATTTTATTTAATTAAATTCTTTAATACTGAAAAGGTTCGGAATACAAAACTTATTATTTATTTTCAACAGATGTTTTTTTTTTGTTTTAATTTCAGATAATATTTGTGACATTCACTTAATATAAACGTGTCGTTTGCTCATTTGGTGCTTGATGTGCGTTTATGTATCAAGGAAAATTCGATGCACCTGATTTGGTTTCAGACCACGGTTGCACCTGAAAAACCATAAAACGATTTTGTATTTTTAATTAAATTCAGTGTTTTGATTGAATTCACGTAAAATATTGATTGATGATTGGAATTCTGCCATCAGGAAGAAAAACGGTTATAAAATCAATTGTTCACAATGCAAATAGTTGTAATATCGTGTTCAATATAGGAATACTCACATGGGGCACTTCTTGCGTATTTTAATCACATTCTTGATGCATGGTTCACAGTACAAATGACCGCACATCGTCGAGAGAACTTTGTCAAATCCGAATGTTTCCAAGCAAATTGGGCATTTTATCGTTCCTGGACGTTTTGGTGACAGTTCGTTCGCCGAATTCGACGGTGCTGTCGACGCCGCCGCTACCGTTGATGTTGATTGTCCAGTATCTTTTGACCGTGTGAATGAAGTGTCTGGAGTGTCGCACAAATCAATTGTTGCAATCGTTCGAAACTGTTGTGATCCACGGGATTCAGTCACGAAAATCACGTCTTCGTCATCGTCTTTGACTATTGGCCGAACTGCAGAACTGTTCATGTCTTCAATGAGTACAACACTGTCTGTAATCGAATCAGAATTCAATTTGAGTGGTGAGCCGTTTAGTTGCTAATGTTATTTAATATGTTTTTATGGCGATTCTTACCATCGCTTGGATTGTTTGTGTGGCTATTATTGGCACTAGCTCTGGCACCACTGTTTTGTCCTGATGTGGTTGCATTGTTTGCGTCATTTGTTGATGCATTCGTTGGATGCACAGCATCTGGTGTCTCGGAGATGATTATTGTGGCTTGGCTATCGTTCTGGCCTACAATACAATCAAGACTACATTAGAACGACGTACGTCGAAAAATGATGTGACAATAATCTTACTTTCATTCGCATAATAATCACGCCGAAATTCCGCAATTTCGGCCATCAAAACATCCGCTTCTCGCAGTATGTTGTCCGTTTCTGTGTCTTCGGATGAATCATCGCCCGGATCTGTTTAAAAGTATAGATAAAAACAAGTAAATACAATGTCATTTTCTCTACGTTTAACTGCTGTATAAATGTTTACTGCTGAACATCCAATTGGTTGTACAAAAGTGAGTGTCAAACATGGAATGTGCTATTTGCGGTTATGTTATGTCTATGTTTTAATTGTTTACTCTATCGCAACAGTTGCTCTTCATTTTCATCAACTCAATTTGTTATTTTTTTCGTGATTATAGAACAAGCAAACTTCCCCTACTTCATATCTTTTTGATTTTGTAGTGCTACTTCGATTGTTCGACAACGAAACTATGATAGAAACTGATATAGATAAATATTGCATCAAATGCCATATCAAAAGTTTGACGTTGCAATTTATAAGCCGCAGACAATCAGCCAATGATTAGAAAATAAATAGTTTCGATCACATCTACAAGGAAAACTATGTGTATCCATTTGATTTGTGTTTAGTCTAAGCGCTGTTGCCGTCAAATGAAAACCATTAGTTATTCACACTGTTTTGATTGGTCCGCTCATTGCCCAACAACTATCATCTTAATCATTTTGGAAAAAAAAAATATCTGAAGAAATTGTGTGGTTACTCACTTGAATTTTGATTAAATTCGGTCGAATCATCGTTTGCTCTTTCCGTTGAGCCTGTTGCTAAGCCATTTTCTTCGGCATTCATTGTTTCACCGTTCGAATCAATTTTGTGTTCATCTGCCGAGTGCGGAACAAAATTAACGGATCATTAGAACAACAACGACAATGAAAACAGCAACAGCAGTAACAACATCATTGTCATGTTCAACATAAATGCCAACAAAAAGGACAAAAAAAAACAGCCAACCAACCTGCATCGACAGTGTCCGTATCTGTATGTGTTGTTTGATTTTTTCTGGGAACTTTTTTCGATTGGATCTGTTGCGTATTTGCTAAATCACTTTCAACTAATCTACGGCTGCGTTTTCGTGTGCTCATTTTTAACTAACCAAAAACCCAATGCAAACAGATGATTTTGAAAATGATTCGTCAATTGAATTTTGTTAACTTTTGTACAGCTGTATTTAAATGGATTATTGTGGTGCAATAGTTTTGACTTTTCTGCGAAATCCGCTGTTTGAGTAGAAGCTCTTTGTTGTTTTACGCGATTGTGTGTACTGAAATGTCAATTCATGTTTGACTGTCAACCGACTGCCGTATAGTTTCGGTTATTGTACACCGGATGGCGTTGTTTAATTTCCATAAAAAAAATGCTAGCAAAGTTCCGGAGCTTTCCATTGTGGCGGTAATGTTGATTCGCCGCGCCAATTCGCAGTGAATTTTTGAAGTTTCACAATTGACACTTCAGAGTCAGTAAACATGCTTTATTTACCTGATCTATAGAATTTTTGTTTTATATGCGGTGAAATTAGAGTTTTTTTTTTAACAGAGAAACACTGAAAATGACGATGGAAATAGATACCATGCCATCCGAATATAATGATGTTGTGCTACGGCCAATGCATTGCCGACTGAATGCAAACACACGATCTGATGGTTCGGCTATGCTAACACAAGGTAAAAATGATTTTTCATGTAAATTTTGTGGCCCACCCAATTTATGATAATTTTTTTCATTTGTTTTAGGAGACACGGCTGTAACGGCAACTGTAAGTGGACCCATTGAAGTGAAATTGCATAATCTTCAAATTGATAAGGCCCATGTGGAGGTATATTACCGTTCAAAGTCTGGCTTACCAAGCATCGTGGACAAATTGCGCGAAAAGATCGTCCGAGACACATGCGAGTCAGCTCTTCTCACCGTTTTGTATCCAAGATCATCGATATTCCTGCAGATTCATGAAATGGAAAATGCCGGCGGAGTAAGCAAATGTCAAATATGCAATTTAACTTTTTCCATATTAAAAAACGAATACTTTCAAACTATTCCATTTCTAGTTGATTGCTTGTACCGTGAACGCTTCATGTTTGGCCCTATTGAACAGTGGACTATCGATGAAATCGCTTCTGGGCGGTGTTCATTGTGTTATCACCAGCGACAACGAACTAGTACTGGATCCAGATCAATTGGTTTCCGAGCATGCGGTGGCAAGCCTAACATTTGTTTTCGAAAGTGTTCATCGAAATATCGTTGCCGTTCACACAACCGGTCGATTCACCATCGGTCAATATAATGATGCAGTGATAAAATGTCGACATGCCAGCGATATCATTTTTAAATTCTATAGAGATGTAGTTAGAAAATTTGCCACTCACGCGACGACAACCAAAGTCGAAACCTAAAGTGCTACTATGTCGAGTTTATGAAGAAAAAAAAGTTGAATAATAATTTAAATTGACCTTTTTTGGTGAAAAAAAAATATTCGTTTCATTTTTAGCATTACGGTTTTTGGTTTCATTGTACGAGAATGTCGAATGGTTGCATTACAAACACAGATGGAATACACATTCGATGCGATTACATTTAAGTAGTTATGACGTGCGTAATGTGGCGAGCACGGAGAAATATGAGTTAAACGTTATGATTTTGATAAGTTATTGTGTTCGTTGTTTTTTTTTTCTTCTTTATTCAGTCGATTTGGATCAGAGAATCGGTTGGTGTGCATAATTTGTTTTGTTGAGGTAATAATTATAATTCCATTGCACGCTACGCGAATCGCGACCACAGCCACATGAGTTGCACAAACACTGGCTGTGCTGTTTTTGTTGCATTCGAAAATGTATTGCCGTTGAAAAATTATTGCTGTTCGGTCCTTCCGTCGACGTCGTCATCGTAGCCAGACTATAGTCGTCTTTCTTCACAAACTACGATGGGTTCATACTTTATTTGTCATGCGGCCATCATCAAATAGGCACGCAATTATTCATGTACGTATCACACATCGACTGAAATGGTTGTGTGTGCGCAGTTTGAGCCAATTGAACAATGTTTTCACCAAATGAGACGCTGTTTCTCGTAGCGAAATGGCATACATAATATGTACTGCACCAATCATTAGCCATACCATTCGTCTTCGCGGTGTGGAAAGCGAACAAAAAATGAAATAGAGGAATTGCATTCGCTCTCTCTGTGTGTGCTAAATACCAATTTATGCATGGGCATAGGCTGACCTAACGCGATTCGTTTACGTGCAAATTGATACCCGACAACTGAACACGCGAATAGTTTCTGCTCCGTTTCGCCTCACATACACGATGGCGAAAAATGGAGAAAAACCGAAACTAACCAAACCGAACCGACACAAACACGTCGACGACAATGACGATGACGACGACCACGAAGAAGAAGTAGACGAAGTACGATGAGACGAGGTGACACGTGAAGAGAAGTGAAAAGAAAGAGAGAAAATGAAAAAAAAGGAAAGAAAAAGAAAAATGAAAGAATTAAGCGTAGTGCAACGAATGGAAACACGGCAGAAGAATGCTAGAATGTAACCAAGAACCAGAGACGAACAGCGAATGTGCAAGTATAAACGTGTAAATGTAATTGCATGTTTACTCGCCAGTCTTTACATTTTGGTCAGTGCTGCCGTTGCTGATTTTGTCATGTCGCCCGGTTATTTCCACGATTTAAGTTTCCACTGTTTTGCATGTTTGGTTCGTTGTTTGTCCTTTTTGAAACATTCATCTTGCCTTTGCGAGTAAATAACAATGAAGCGGGCGCAGGAAGAAAAAAAAAACTTGAATGTGCAGCGGCAGAAGCAAGAACGAAAACAAAAACGTTCAGCGAAATTGAAATGCGAGTAGAGAAAAGCCAGTCGAGTAAACGGACAACATAATATTAATTCAAAATGGTATATTAATGAGGTTAGAGACACGCCTTTAGACATTTCTTATGCTGTTTGTCGCTCATTGGTTGCACAATCGGATCCGACATTTGATGAGCTTATGATAAATGCGAATGCCGAACAAAGCCCTTGCAAATTGAGAGAATTCCCAATGAAATGCCATATGCTCATTTAAACAATAATTTTGAACCACAAATCGCCGATGATCGACAGATCTCTAGCCATTTTGATTCGGTTTTCAGTTGAATTCTACACTCTTCAAGAATGCTCAAGCTCCCTATTACATTGCCAAGACATAGGGCGCAATTGTCTTAACCGACAGACCAAGAGCTTATAGAACCGGCCCCAAAATAAATTTTGCCGCTCGATTCTCAGACGAATTCTGTTGGATGGAACAATTCCAGAGCAGAAAAAAAGACCAGCCAAGAGAGAGAGAGAGAGAGAGAGAGAGAGAGAATACATCGAATGAAATTGAAGCAAACCGAATAACAATCAACAAGAATATTTATCAATAAATTATCGACGGAACAATTTATTGAAATGCAGTAATTGCGTTGGAACTAATTTTATTTCGAAGCATTTATTTCATGATATCCCGCAGACATACATGTGTCGTATAATTTGTGAAACTCTTGATATCGGCAGCTAATATGTGCCCCGTGATATGGGCAAAAATGAAGCGCATAGTGCATATAAGAGAGCGCGAGAGAGAGAGAGAGAGAAAAAACCAATTTGCATTTCTTATTTTTCGGGTGAATATTACTTAAGCATGTAGTCAGTTTTATCTGTTTCTATTGGGAAATTCATTGGTGTGCATTCATAAATAACTCGTGTGCATCGTTGAGGATAACAGATATTGCAAAATTGACGCTATGATTCGAATACGTTGTGCGCACAGCGCATTCGTATTTAAGCCAATGCGCGCAAAATCTGCAGAAAGAACGAACAACAACAAAATATGTATTTGAACTCACATATCGAATTCCTGTTCGTTTGATTACATGGCGATTTCATTTTCGATCTTTTCCATTTCATTGTGTTATCTTCTCCTCATGCTTCTTACTTGATTTTCGTGCAATTTTGTTATGGTCTTTATTCTTGTGTATTTTTTTGCTGTCTTTTTACTCTTTTCAATTTCGTTTTTTTCTTTCATTTCATACCGTTTTTGATTGAGTTTTGTGTAGGCAGTGCAATGTGAAGACTATTCATATCTTTGGAGCATTTTTTGTTCGTTTGATTCTCTTGATGATTCAAAGCTATGCCAGCTTCAAATTTCATACACAGCAGAACATTTCCGTCTCAATATTGAACATATTATTTCATCTTCTTCTTCTTTATATAAATTCTCAAGTAAACGTGAGCAAGCGTTCACGTGACCATAACATCTAGCTAGCAAAATAAAAGACAATGGCCAATTTTTCCGTTCATGACAAATTATCTGTGAATAAGAACGGCTGCGTAATACTATCTGAAGACAAAAGAACAAATTATTTCATCGTTCAAACACAAATGAGAATGTTCATTTAACGCTCTCTTTCACCGCAACCAACTCGATAATTTGTCATTTTTAAGCTGAACATATTAATGTCCAGAAGAATTCTCTATCAACACACATTTCATCGCATTGGCTTCAATTTCGAAATTAATGCATGGAAATGGTTGTTCTACTTTTTTACATGGCATTTGAAATTAATGACTTTGAAATCTATCGATTACGCTTAAAATACTAATGCTGTTTCCATTCCAGCGCTATTTATAAACCGAATAAAAAATAAATGAATAAATATATATTAAAAATCATCTGCATTATGTGAATATGAACAGCAAATTAGCCGTTGAATTATTATTGCAATTCTAAACGCAAACAAAATAGATTTGCCCTCAAAATTGGTCGGAATCGGTTGCAATGTTTTAGCATTATATTTAATTATCTCAATTTTGTTGTCAAATTTCTAGAATAATGCAGTCGCGCGTTGCGCACACCAAATAATGTGATATTTTTCATGAATGATTTTACATCGGAAATTCTCTTGCGAATCAAGTGATGCCGTAATAGTTGTCGTGTCGTGGCAATTTAAGTTGTATTATTATTATTGCTCGGTGAATTCTGTGAATGGGCCATCCGTAATTTCACCGGTTAAAGTGATTTTAAATTACAATTTGTTCATATTTGATGGACATGTGTTCGTCAAAAAATCAAATTGCATATCGCGCATCGCTTCAGAGGCGCTTTCATTCGGTGCGAATTTATTCATTCATCAAATGCATGCTAAGAAACAAAAAACCAACCACAATACAAATCGAAATTGACTATGTGTACAAAAAAAACAGACTAAATAATTTTGAACTGTTGATATCACAATAAAATATCTATTGTCGCAATTTGTCTTTGCGAAACGTGCCATTTTCATTGTGTTGGCACCGCGTTTACTTCGTGCACCTCCCATCTCACTTCTCTCTTTTCCTTCGATTTTTCGTTTCTTTGAAATACACTTTCGCAATGTCGAAACAATTTGATTTCATTTTATAAAAGACGACTTTTATCATCGCCCTTTCACATTCGCAAAGGCATTAGAGCAGAAGAGAAAAAAGCAAAGAAAAAGCCGAAGCAAAGAGCCATAAAATGAAAGAAACATGGAATTATGAACGTTTGAGTAACCTGCAATTGCTAATTTCGGGTGATGATAATAACAATAATAGTGGGCCAGTGAGCGAGTGTACTGTAAATGAAACCAATCGGCTGATTGGTACAAGCTAAAGGCCGATGGCATTGGTGAATCGTTAAACAACAACGAAAAAAAAAACAGACAAAAATAATAGCATTGAAACGATACACAAAAGGGGAAAACTGAAATGGCAACCAGGCAACCACAGCGAAAAGAAACTAAAGTGGGAAATAATATGTAATTAAGTGAGTGGAATCTGTATTTACGTTAAACACAAAATTATAGGATGTATATACAAACACGGTCGTAATGGCTGGAGAGAGAAAAAGAGTGTGTGTGTGTGTGTGGATGTGTTTGTTGTGAGTGTGTGAGCTTCAGTGCAATATCATTACCGATTGCATTCCAATTCACGTTCTTATCACCTCGTCTTTATTTAGTATTGCTGCTGATCATGGTGCATTGCAAGTCGAATAAAACATGCGGAGCGAAACAGCTTCAATTTCAGCTACACGTTGCACTTCTGCAGCACACAGCCAGTTCTGATTCCAAACTTAGCGCGAACATACGAAAGCTACCACATCATAATAATCATATGTTATTATTTGCAGCAGCAGCAGCAGCAGCAGTAGAATGAGAAAAAAAATTATATTGTATTTTTTTCTGTAATTTTTGTTCGTTTGATTTTTTTCCTATTACTCCTGCATGATTATAATCCTATGTGATGCGTCTATGTGTGCAAGTGAACATGAATAATTCGCTGTTTAGTTTTTTTTCTACTCTCGCTCGCTAAAATCCAATGAAATAGCCACACCTTAAACGGATATTAAATATCTACAGAGTATAACTTTGGCAAAGCAGAACCAGAAAGGAAAACAAAAATGAAAAAATACGAGAGAA